GAAAGAAAGAAAGAAAGAAAGAAAGAAAAGCATGAAATGTGTACTGCTTTGGACCAAGCAGTAGCAGTGGTGAAATGCAGTGTCAGGTGAGGCTGCCTCACCTGGGGAGGTTCTGGGTTTATATCCAGAGGCCTCCCTGAGGACTCTCAGCACACGGGTGCCCACGATCGGGGCTGGTGAGGCAGGGGTTGGATCGTGGCATCAAACTCTGCTAGGGGTACTGTCTTACTGTCTTCTTTTTAAAAAATTCTTTTATTTAACTTTGTTCCTTATTATTTTTTAATTTGACCAGAGAAAGATAGAACGAGGGAAAGTGAGACAACAAGCTGTTTGGTCCAGGACTCAAACTACAGTTGGCCATGTGGGAGTCCAGTGCCCTTAACCACCACACCATCTGCTGCCCACCCCCCCTTTTCTTTTTTCTTTTTTTTGAGAGGCATTTGCTATAGGGCGCGTGCGCTCACCAGACAGACAGAGAGAGACATAGAGACAGAAAGCGAGAAATCACCCCCCCGGGGGGATGGCCACGCTGCAATCCCTTCTCCTCCATTCTCCTCTCGGGATCTTGGGCACACACGCACACGTGCCCGGCGTGAGTTTTAAGCCACCGGGTCCGGGACGCGAACCGCAGTCGACCACATGGGAGTCCAGCGACATAGCCATTACGCTAACTGCTGGTTCCCACCCCCCCCTTTTTTTTAAATTTGGTCTAAGGTGCATGCACTCACCAGAGAGAAATGGAAAGAGAGAGAGGGAAAGTGAGAAGTCACCCTTCAGAGGAGATGGCCGTGCTGCAATCCCTTCTCCGTTCTCCTCTCTAGGTTCTGGGTACACATGTACATGCGCCTGGTGCATTTTCAAGCTGCCGGATCTGAGACTCAAACCATGCAGTTGGCAATGCGGAATCCCGCTGCTTAAGTACCATACTGCACTCAAAACACTCAAATGCTTCAGACTGACCTGACCAGGGATTCAAACCCTGTTCGCCATAGGGTAACTGGCTTCTCTTGAGCAGAGCGTTACTGCTACACCATGGAGCCAGTTCATGTCTTTCTCTAGCTCTCTCGCTCATGAGTAACATGAATGCACATTGGGGCCAACAGGTGGCATGGTGGTTAAGGTGTTGGACACTCCCACATGGCAGGCCATGGTTCGAATCTCAGACCTGGTAGCTAGCTTTCTTCCTTATCCTTTCTCTCTCTGGTCAAATTTTAAAAAGAATAACAAATGGAATTAAATAAATAAATTATTATTTTTAAAAAAATAAACATAAAAAAAAGTTATTACATAAGCCTCTCACTTCCCACTCCACTCCCCATCCCATGTCTCTCCAACAAGTGCATGTGCCCTATGGCAAATAAAATAAAATAATAATAATAAAAAGGAAAAACGGGAGCTAGCAGGTGGCGTGGTGGTTGAGGGCACTGGACTCCCACATAGCTCATTGTGGTTCAAGTCCCGGATCTGACAACTTGGTTTTTCTCTCTCTTTCTGTCTCTGTCTCTCTCACTCTGTCCTTCTCTGGTCAGATTAAAATAAAGGTAAATATAAAAATAATACTTTTTTTTAAATAGAAAAAAGGAACTTTTTAAAAAAAGGAGAAGAAACTTGACAGCATTTAACTCATCGAGGTGGAAAGATGGTTTGAATTCTTTTTTTTTGAAGAGGTTTTTGCTATAGGATGCATGCGTTCGCCAGACAGACAGAGACAGACAGAGAGACAGAAAGCGAGAAATCACCCCCCAGGGGGGATGGCCATGCCGCAATCCCTTCTCCTCCGTTCTCCTCTCGGGATCTTGGGCACACATGCACACGCGCCCAGTATGAGTTTAAGCCACCAGGTCCGGGACTCAAACCGCGGTCGACTACACGGGAGTCCAGCGACATAGCCATTACGCCAACTGCTGGTCCCTTGAATTAATTTTTTTAATTGCCAGAGGGTGTGTGCACTTGCCGGAGAGAGAGTCAGACAGAGAGAGGGAGAAGGTACCCAGTGGGGCGTGGTCACCCCACAATCCCTTCTCTGTTTCTCCAACATCCCCTCTCTTTTTCCCCCAGCCTGTCAGGATTTGGGGCATGCACATGCACCCAGAGTGTTTTCCAAGCCACTGGGGCTGGGATGTGAACCGTAGTCAGCCATATGGGATCTAACTACCTTAACCACTAGGCTACAGGACCAGTCCCAGGGTTTGGGGTTTTTTTGTTTGTTTTTGACAGTTTTTGCTATAGGACACGTGCTCACTGGAGAAAGACACAGAGAGAGGGAAAGTGAAAAATCCCCTCCAGGAGGGTGGCCACGTACAATCCCTTCTCCTCTAGTCTCTTCTTGAGATTACGGGGACGCATGCACACACGCCTAGGGTGATTTTCAAGCTGCCAGTTCCAGGATTTGAACCATGGTCAGCTATGTGGGACCAGAGTCTTAGCTCCCCTGCCACTGGCTGGTCCAGTTTATTTATTTATTTATTTTTTGAGAAGATTTTGCTATAGGGCACGTGCACTCGCCAGAAAGACAGAGACAGAGAGATAGAAAGCGAGAAATCACCCCCCAGGGGGGATGGCCACGCCATAATCCCTTCTCCTCCATTCTCCTCTCGGGATCTTGGACACGCACACACACGCACCCGACGTGAGTTTAAGCCACCAGGTCCGGACTCGAACCGCAGTCAACTACATGCAGTTCAGCAATGTAGCCATTATGCTAACTGCTGGTCCCCAGTTTGGGGTTTTGACAACTTTTGGGGGTCAACATTTGGACGAGAACAGGGGGTCTGGGATAAGGCAGGTCGGGGGTTAGTGACTGTCACTGTTTTCTGGGCCTCAGTTTCCCTGCCTATGAGGCAGCCAGCATGAGACCAGAAGACACTGCAGTGGTCATGACACTGGACTCCCATCTAGTCGACTGTGGTTCGAGTCCTGGACCCGGTGGCTTAAACTCACGTGGGGCGCGTGTACGTGCATGCCCAAGATCCCGAGAGGAGAATGGAGGAGAAGGGATTGCAGCGTGGCCATCCCCCCTGGGGGGTGATGTCTCGCTTTCTGTCTCTCTGTCTCTTTCTCTGTCTCTCTGGTGAGCGCATGCGCCCTATAACAGCCAGGGTGACAGACCTATACCTTAGTTTCTGCAAATGGGGCCTGAGGGCAGGGCTGAGGCAGGATGTGGGGTCAAAGGTCTCCTGTCCTGGATTTTTGCTGCCCTGGGAGGGAACAAGCAGGAAATGGCCCCGGGGGTGGGGTGGGGGGGGCCCTCTGTGCTGTTCCCCCA